TCATGAACATCGACGCAAAAATCCTCAACAAAATACTGGCAAACCGTATCCAAGAACACATTAGAAAAATTATCCATTATGATCAAGTAGGCTTTATCCCAGAGATGCAGGGCTGGTTCAACATACGAAAATCTATTAATGTAATCCACCATATAAATAAACTGAAAGAAAAAACCATATGATCATTTCATTAGATGCTAAAAAAGCTTTTGACAAAATTCAACATCCCTTTATGATAAAAGTCTTGGAGAGATTAGGGATACAAGGGTCATACCTAAATATAATAAAGGCTTAAAAATATCTTAACAGAAATATAAGAGATGATCAATCTATACAAACTAGGGTAGCTAACAAGAGATTTACCTCAAACCAAATTTTAATAGCATCCCCTTACAATAACAAAATGCCTGAGATAATCAACTTAAAGAGTGGAAACGTAGCTGGGCGGCGGTGGTGCACTCCTTTAATCCCAGCACTGGGGTGGAGGGGCAGAGGCAGGTGGATCTCTGTGAGTTCGAGGCCAGCCTCGTCTATAGACTGAGTTCCAGGACAACTAGGGCTACACAGAGAAACCCTGTCTTTAAAAAAAAAAAGGAAACAGATTATTTGGGCTCATGGTTTCAGTCCACACACACTTGGCCGTTTATGATGAGACAATACATCATGGTGGAGATGATACAGTTCATCAATGACAATCCCCTAAAAGCAGCCTGGAAGCAAAGTGAATGGGGAAGAAGCTGGGCTTTGTGCTTTCCATGAAGGATACATTTCCAACAACTGAACTCCCACCCTCCCGAAGGTTCCACCTCCTCCTCTGAGCACCAACAGGCTGGTGACCGAGCCTTTAGTACGCTGGCCTTTGGCACTTATTCAGAGTGTGACATTCTGCCCCTGCCCCTACAGGCTTATGTCCATTTCATAATCGATTTCTGCAAGAGTTCCTCAAGTCGTAACTGCTTCAGAGCCATTCACAAGCCCATGCCCAAAGGATGCTTTGAGACTCAGGGCAAACCCAGATGAGAAGCTGTAAAAAGTAACAAGATTATCCATGTTCAGAGTACAAAGATACAAAGTAAACATTCCTGTCCCACAAAGGAGACATGCGTAGAAAGGATCAGCACCAGATTCAAACGAAGCAGGGCAAACATCAAAACCTACGTCTGCACATCAGGCGTCTGGTGCAGACAGCGGCAGCGTGTGAAATCCCAAGGGCTCAGCGGTCCTGTTTCTTACAGACTCGCTGACTGCAGCCCATGCGCCCACACTCTGCCCACGCGCCTGCACTCTGCGGCTGGCTGTACTCACCTCATGAAGCATCCCTTGGTGGCTGTCACCTCTTGCTGGGGTCTCCATTATGGGTTCAGCTTTAGTCTCCTGTTTCCCACACACTGCCAGCTCAAAAGTTGGTGATGGAGACTTGCTCCGTCACACAGCGCTAAGCATCCCAGGCCGACTTCCGGGATCTTGACTCCGTAACTCTTGCATTTTGAATGGCTGTAAAACCAGCATGTTGTGAATGACGCCAAGGCCTGCCATGGCACACACGGTACAGGGTCCACGTGATCTGCAGCTGCAGTCATCTGCGTGTCTGGATATGAGAGGGGTGTTTTGGGGCAACTTTTGCCAAATGGCCCCGTGGAAGGAGGCTGCCTGGGGTCTCTTTAAGACAAATGTCTGAATCCTATGAGGAGGCAGTCTGACCAGCTCTTGAGGTGCCTTCAAGGTATTCTATCATCCTGGTGCAAAGTACTTGGCTTTACTTTTTAAATATATTTTTATTCATTCTTGGAGAATTTCAAGCACATTTTTGTACATCCACCCCTCCTCTACTTCTTCCCAGATCCACCCTCCCTTCCTGACCCATTCAACTTGGTGTCCTTTTAAAAATAATTAATAATAATAATAATGATAAATACATCTATCAAGACCAATTTGTGTTGCCCAAACTGTCTTGGAGATGTGGCCTTCCACTGGAGTATGGTCAGCTTCACAGGGGCTACACTCTTCGAGAAATATGACTCTCTGCCAGCAGCTAACAACTGCCAACAGCAGCTCATACGGGAGTGGGAGGGACTTCCGGCCCATCACTCCTCTTCATGGAAAGAGCTGATCTGTCTGGGGCTTGCACGGGTCTTGTGCATGCTGGCACAAATGCTGTGAGCTCAGATGCACAGCTGCCCTAGCTGTCAGAAGCCACGTTCCTCGTAGTCATCTGCTGCCTCTGGATCTCACACTCCTAGCCCCTCTTCCGAAGTGATCCCTGAGCCTTGAGCCCACTGGGGCCAGAGCAGCCTGCAGCCTCCCATTCCCTACACCATGTCCAAATGTTAGCTACCATCTACTGCGCATGGAGGCTTCTCAGATGAGAGCTGAGGATGCATTCATCTATGGGTGTAACGATAAATCGCTAGGTGTCAGTTTAATATTATGTCCATTTAGCAAAGTAACAGTAATAAGTGCTCCCCTAGAGCCTATGACCTCCCTATGACCTGTGTAGCCGTGGCTCTCGGTCTGCTGATAATGCCAGGTGTAGGTTTTATCTTACGGAACAGGATTTAAATTCAATCAAAAGTGGCTGGCTATTCCTGTGATGTTCGAGTACTATCGTGCCAGAGGGCATGTCTGGCCAAACACTCATTATTGTAGCTCATTAGGCTCACAGCCAGCCAAGACTGATGACGACTTTGCTCCCCGTAGCGTGTTTAGCACCTCCTAGCACCACGAAAGCCAGTCAGCAGGGATGAAGCTTCCAAGTCAGCACCAGCTTCATTTTCCCATGTCCTACGACTCAAGTATGTGGTACTTCCGAAACAGGGTCTTACCCTCAGGCTCCAGACGGTGGCCAGAGCATAGTAACAGCCTGGGATGTCTGGCCTTGGTCCTTACAGAAGATCCTATTAACCCATGCTGACACACCCTAGGCTTTCTCTAGCTTACTTCTTCAGACTTTTCCAGATTCCATCTACAAATTGATTCTAAGGGCTTCAGAGCTACACCATCAATCGCAATAGCTACCCTGCTGTGTGGCTTCAATTTCATCCAAATTGAAACATTCCTTCCTGGAGAAAAGAGGGACGCTCAGCAGATCCATGAAACTCACAAGAGACTACTGGACTCCCAAGGTTCACTCCTGAGTTTATAAAAACAGAAACGACGGCCTGGGAAGAGGAAACTTCCCGGTACTGTGTCCTGCAAGTTGCACAGGTTACCCAGGCTAGGGCGGGCTTTCCATGACGTAGCTTCCCAAGTCACCCATGGTCCTGGAAGAAACCCCTCCCCCATATTCCTGTAAGTAGCCACAGTGAACTCACTGGTTCTCCAAGCTGGATTCAGGCAGAACTGTTTCTTTGTTCTATTCCTACCCTTTTATCTAGGGTGACTAGAAGCAGACTCCCCAGAAAGGTCACACAACAGATTCCACTTTGGGGAACTGATAACCTGTTAGCTCTCTGTTCTTATGGGAAAATATTCGAGATAACCAACTTAACCAAGAGAAAGTTTGTTGTAGTTCATGGTGTCAGAGGCCATGGTTGGAGGGCCCACCGCTTTGAAGTCAGTGGCAAAACAGCATATAATGCTGAGGGAACACAGTGGAGCAAGGCTGTCTACTTCGTGGTGGCTGAGAAGCAAAAGGAAGGGCTAGAGTCTCAAAATCCTCCTCAAGGGCACACCACTAGGGACCCAACTTCCTTCTGCTAGGGCCTACTCCTTCCTAAAGGTTCCACTGCCTCCCAAAAGCACCTACGTCCAAGCGTCCAAGCTTTCAACAGATGGGGCTGTGAGGGACATTTATCTAGAGCACAGACCTTCACTTACTCTAACATTATTAGAAAATGCAAACTCTACAGGGTCCATCCTCCAGAGAATGCTTACTTGAGTTTAAGCAGTGAATATATTATCAATAAATGAGGATTTTGCTAACTTAACAGCTAAGAGTTTGAAATCAAATGCAAGGTTTTGGGAGATAGGTGTGTTGGGCCTTTGGGATGAAGTTTAACTGCTTTATCCATGATACAGTATACTGTCCTGACTGATGACATACCTGGTAATAGGCTAAAACTAGATTATAACTAAAGCATCCAGCATGTTGTGGGATATTATTTTAAGATGTGTTACATTTGTTTATGCTGTGGAACATTTGTTTAATGATGCAAAGATGTGTTGCATTCTTTTATGCTGTATTGTTTAACTCTGCGAAGCTGTGATTCTTTGTCTAAAACACCTGATGGTCTAATAAAGCACTGAATGGCCAACAGCGAGGCAGGAGCAAGGATAGGTGGGGCTGGCAGGCAGAGAGAAGAAATAGGAGGAGAAATCTGGGAGGAGAGAATGAGCAAGAGATCAAGGAGTAAGAAAAGAAGGGGCCAGCCGTGGAGTAAGAGTGGAAGTAAGATTACAGAAGTAAGAAAAGGAAAAAACTCAGAGGCAAAGGGTAGATGGGATAATTTAAGAAAAGCTGGTTATAAACAAGCCAAGCTGAGACTGGACATTTATAAGAATAAGCCTCCATGTATAGTTTATTTGGAACTGGGTGGTGGGCCCCCCAAAAGCCAAAAGAGTAAAACAACCAACAATACCAGCTCTAAGATTTTATGATTATAATCGCTGGGGTGAAAGATAATAAAACATAAGATATGACAATGTGCTTACCTCAACTCAGAAGAGCAATTTTTGTTAGCCTTTGAAACAGGGTCTCATAATGTAACTCAGACTGACCTAGAACTCACAGCAATTCCCCTGCCACTGCCTCCTGAAAGTAGAGACGACAGGTGTGAGACACCATATCCAGCTGAGAATACACCTTTAACCATGGAAGATGGTTCTTCCAAAGAATTATCAAAGCAAAGATATGCCCCCTTTGAGATGGGATCTACGTAACTGCAGTCTGCTGTTCTGAGGTCAGGGATAAACCATGCACACAAACAGCTCTATTAACCAGAGAATGGGGGCAGGGGGACTGAAGTCATTATGAAGGATATGTCACTGTGCATATGAAGTCATTACGAAGGATATGTCACTGCGTCTGCAGGAGTTACTTACCTGTTGTAAGTTTACAATGGAAGATAGCTTCAAACTTAGATAACACAAGAGCCATTCCACTTGAGCATCTAAAGAATAAAGTGACCTAGGGAGTTTCTAGTCACTCTTTTTCACTTATGAAAAAGAAAAATGTTGGTAAAGAGCCAGGCAGTGGTGGCGCTGCCTTTAATCCCAGCACTTAGGAGGCAGATACAGGCAGATCTCTATGAGTTTAAGGCCAGCCTGGTCTACAAAGTGAGTTCCAGGACAGCCAGAGCTGTTACACAAAGAAACCCTGTCTCAAAACAAAACAAAATAATAGCTTCGTATTAAGTGTGGTGGTTTGATTAGGAATGGTTCCCATAGACTCACAGATTTAAATGTTTGATCACTAGGGAGTGGCACTATTAGGAGCTGTGGCCTTATTGGAAGAAGTGTGTCATTGGGGATGGACTTTGAGGTTTCAGAAGCTCAGCCAGGCCCAATAGCTCATTCTCTCTTCCTGTTGCCTGCTGATCCAGAAACAGAACTCTGAGCTACTTCTCCATGCTGCCATGATTCCCGCAATGACAATAATGCATTAAACCTCTGAATCTGTAAGCCAGCCACAAATAGATGTTTTCCTTTATAAAAAGTTGGTGTGCAGGGCTGAAGAGATGGCTCAGCAGCTAAGAGGACTGGCTGCCCTTCCAGAGGTCCTGAGTTCAATTCCCAGCAACCACATGGTGGTTTGCAGCCATCTATAGTGGGATCTGATGCCCTCTTCTGGCATAAAGTCATACATGCTGATAAAGCACTCTATACATAAAATAAATAAAGAAATATTTTTTTAAAAAGTTGCTGTGGTCATGGTGTCTCTTCACAGCAATATTAACTAAGACATTAAGCCATTATTAAACCAAGTAATTGGCTTAATTCATATAGAAGTATTATGTATCACACATCCATGAATACAGGACAGATAGAATTTTAAAATATATATATGAGTTGGGCAGGGTGGAACACACCCATAGTCCCGGCTACTCAGGATGCTGAGACAGGAGGTTCACTGGAATCCAGGAGTTTGGCGACAGCCTGGATAATTTAAGAAGGCCCATTCTGAAAATACAAAACCACACAATTATAAGCTTTTACTAAATTTGGAAAAAGTTCTAAACGGTCTTCAACTATAACTGTATTTGCCAACCTCCAAAGAGGAACTTCCTCATGGATTCCACATTAGTAGGTGTTCACCAGTGCAGCTGGACAATGTTCTGTTGCTACCTGCAGTGATTACTTCAGTTCTAACGGACAATATTAAGCCAGGTTAGAAATTACTAATCTGTTACAGCCTATATCAAATTGAAAATAATTTCACATTTTCATAACTGTATACATGTCCTAAGAGATGTGCGGTTGCTCACTAAACCCATAGTCATTTCTTGGCTTCACTTAATTGTATTTCCGATGTGAACCGGGACTATGATATTGGCCCATTTATAAATAACAGGAACAAAAAGCCCCAGAGTCCCAATGACTGAAACCAGAAGAAAAGTCCACAGAAACATCCGGTCAAGAACTTGTGCTATGAATTTCCAGTCTTCAACAACCTGTTAAAAGACAAACATTAAATACAAATATCAAACTTGTACACATTTTAAGAATAATAAAAAAAAAAAACCCAGAAGATAATCACTTGCTGTCTTCAAAGCATAAGCGATCCTGTGCCCAGGGCTCTAAGACAGACTGGTATAACTTATTAAATTCCATTCCAGTCTAAATCCCTAGCTGACAAATATTCTCACCTTTTAACATTCCACTAATAGTTAAAACCCTTATGACGATGCTTTAATTATACCACCACCACATACTACACCAACAAGTTAGTTAGAAGTGAACTAGGCAGGGGCTGGAGAGATGGCTCAGTGGTTAAGAGCACTGCCTCCCCTTCCAAAGGTCCTGAGTTCAATTCCCAGCAACCACATGGTGGCTTACAACCATCTGTAATGAGGTCTGGCGCCCTCTTCTGGCCTGCAGCCATACAGACAGAACATTGTATACATAATAAATAAATAAATATTAAAAAAAAAAAAAGAAAAGAAAAAAAAAGAAGTGAACTAGGCAGTGTGGCACGCGCATGTGGTGCCAGCTACTTGGAAGACTGAAGCAGGAGGAGCCTGAACAAGTGGGACCGCATCTCAAACAACAACAAAAAGTTAACTCAAAGTTATTCCCTGGACACAGTGGTGCTTGCTGTAAACCCAGCCTTCAGGGGGCTAATGCAAGAGGATTGAGAGTTCAAGGCTAACCTGACTACATAGCAAAATGCTGTCTAAAAAAACAGTGTGTGTGTGGGGGGGGGAGACAGGAGATGAGGGTTCTCAGTGTAGAGGTGGTACAAGTCTTTAATCCCAAAACGTGAATGAATTTCTGTGAGTCTGGAGTCAGCCTGGTCTACACAGCAAGTCTCAGGCTAGCCAGGGCTATATATGTAATGAAACCTTGTCTCAAAAAAAAAAAAAAAAAAGGGAAGGAGGGAGGGGAAGAGAAGGAGAGGGTAAGGAGAAAAGAAGGAAGAGAAGGAGGGAGGGAGGGAGGGAAGGAGGGAGGGAGGGGACAAAGGCTGTCAGGGCAAGGGAAGCTGGGAGCTTCAGACTATGAAACAGTAGTAAAGACTGCACTGCTATTTTATCAGATTCATTGCATCTACGACTCGCACCTGATAGAAAAATCTCCATTTTAAAAACTTTAGAAATTAGAATTTGGGAGCTGGTGAGATGGCTCAGCAGTTAGGAGCATTTATTGCTCCTGTAGACCAGGGCTCAGTTCCCAGCACCCACACCATGGCTCACAAGCATCTGTAACTCCAGTTCGAGGGCTTCTGAAGCCCTCTTCAGATTTCCTCAGGCTCCAGGCACACACAATCAGGCAGAAAAACACTCATGCACATAAAATAAGAAAATAAATCTGGAAAAGGATTAATAGAAATATATTAGAATTTACATAATCTTAATGGGACCATTAAATATAAATTCAGTTATAAAATATTAATAAGCATAACGTTAAAAATATCATAAAATAGAAAAAAGGAAAATAGTGGCCATTGAAAATCTGAAAAAAAACCGAGTAGTTCAACACTTTAAATTGATAAAACACATGTCCAATATTTGCATCTCAAATGTCAATTAACCTTTACAAGCCAACCAAACTTATTTTCTGTAAGGCTTTAAACAAATTTTGTTTTAAGCACATTAGATACTATTACTGCCTCACAGGAAAACCTTGACTCATGAACATAACACATGAGAACACCTAACTCCTTTTCTCTTTTTATGGTTTTTAAATTTCATTTTGCTTTTATGAGATGTAGTCTCCCTACGTATTCTAGACTGACCTTAAACTTGCTAAGTAGCGGAAGACTTTCTCAACCCTCCTGCCACAGCCCCTGAGTGGTGGGATTATAGGTATGCACCTTATTCTTTCAATTTTACTAGTGAAAAACTTTACTAATTTTGTAAATGAGCCACAATAAGATGTTTTTCTAGAAAAGTATCTTGCATGTACTTATAAAACTACATTAGGCTCTTTCTTAAAAAAAATAACTTTTGATAAATTATAATGCCAAAATTCAGAAACAAAGTTACTGAAGAGAAATCTAAATCAGTAAATCATCCCATTCCAGAGCCAAAAGTTATGGCGAAAAATTACTATCCCCCCCCCAAAAAAAAATTACTATCCCGTCAAATGCATAGTTAAGCTTTCTTTATAGTCATTCAAGATGCTCTGGGGATCAAATGCATATTGTTAAACTTCCTTTGTCATCATTCAAGATGCTCTAGGGAAATGGAAAAGTGAGGCTTGGGCAGATGCCCCATTTTGCAGGGCTTTGCAGGGCAGCAGATTGAATACCCGCCACAGACCTCTCGGACGTCGTTCTCCTTCCTGACATGTCTCGTGATGTAGCGGATGCAGCCGAGCGCAGCTTCCAAGGTGTTCCTAGACTTCGGTCCACTGCCATCCTGGGTTTCTTCCCTCTGAGTGAAGTACCTGTCGACGTGACTTCTCATGCAGAGCAGTTTGGGGAGCTTGTGAAGAAATATCTTACGGACCCACGGCGCCATAGCATTGTGTGTTGAGGAAGAGCGGTGGTGGATGTTGATGGCAAACACAGTCACCATAATGGAGAGTGTCACGAAAATCATGGTGAACACCAAGTACTCCCCAATCAGAGGTATGACTTTGGACGACGAGGGTATGATCTCTTCAATAACCAGAAGGAAGACGGTCAGGGAGACGAGGACTGACGTGCACAGGCTGATCTTTTCACCTTCGTTTGACGGGAGATAGAAGACGACCACAGTCAGAAATGAGAGCCCGATGCAGGGGATAATGAGAAATAAGGTATAGAAGAGAGGCAGCCGCTTAATCACAAAAGAGTACGTGACGTAAGGGTACCAACAGCAGCTGTCCGTTCTGTTCCCTTTGATCCCCACGGCACTCATGATTTCCCATTCTCCGTTGTCAAAAAAGTCGGTTCTGTCTACGTTTTGGTCCTCTAGGAGTATATCAACCTGGGATCCATCATACGTCCAGGAGCCGAATTTCATGGAACAGTTCTGGAGATCGAATGGGAAAAACGTGACATCGATAGTACAGGAACTTTTGTAGTTTGCTGGTTGTGTCCAGGTGACGGTGCCATTGTACTGGACAGTCGTCTTCGTGCTGGCCCCTTCGAAACGCCCGTCTGCACTAAAAGAAACACACAGTAATGGTGCCTAAATCAAACAACCCGAGCACACATTTTATGAGCCCAATATAAAAGGAAACCTGTGGGTAACAGCATGAAATAAGTTCGAAGTTACTAAGTGCCCAAATGCCTGCCCCAGCCACGGGGCCTCGCTTTCTGGACATCTTCCTGACATGTATGATTCTGCTGGAACCGAGCCTACTCTCCCCTTTGTATTATGAGATGGGCAAATCCATGTTTATCAAAATGCTGAGATTTTTATAGTTGAAAAGACCTCACTTGACATACAAATAGAATCAGGCTGTTTCTATACCGGGCATGCACAGAGGCAGAGCCTGACCCTTTATCTCCAGACTTCCTCTTCCACCAGAGAGTTTGCACCAGGCAAGGCCGGCCTGGACCTGCACTAAAGAGGCACAGCAGCGGGTAGAAGCCCCAGCGCCCGAGTCCTTCACAACAGTCCTGCTGTGTATCTTCAGGTTCAGTTAGAGAGAGCAGCCAATGCTCAGGGAGCCGCCCCGTGCTACATTACAAGCTTTCTTCATCCTCCCAGATTGAGGAACATGGAAGTAAAGGATCCAAAAGATCGTTTTTGCCCAGCATTTGCTGTCCTTATGCCAAGGCCTTTGTGCAAACAGGACAGATGCTTTCAGCTGCTGAGGGAGCTGATGTACAGGGCGCCGCCCCGTGCTACCTTTCACGCTTTCTTCATCCTCCCCTATCGAGGAACATGAGGTAAAAGGTTCCAAAAGATCATATTTTGCATAGCATTTGTTCTAAAAAGCCTTTGTGCAAATAGGAGAGGTGCTTTAGCATAAATGCAAGCAAGCTCTCCCATTTACTCTGAGAGGGCCCTGGGTAAGGAAAATGCAGCTGGTACTGGCAATTACCCTCAAAACACTCCTAGAGAAGCTGCCCATGCATGGGTTAAAAATTAACCCCGCTCTCCTCACCATGGGAAAATGGCAATATTGTGCTGTTAGGACAGCATCTCTAGAAAATATTAGAAGATAGTGTTGACCATAAACTGTAACCTCAACTAAAAACAAATCCCTGCAAACATGGAAGTCTGACTTGAATAAGGAAGCAAATGGGGACATCACAGTGTCTTGGGGTGAAACCTCTCTCCGCCACATGAGAGCTTTGTGACCCTAGCAAAGCGTAACGGCGGTAGGTCCATTCAGACAGTTGGCACACCCAGCATTTAAAACTGCTGTGAACACACAGCCAAGCACGTAAAAGTTTCCTGTCTATGGAAGGCTAATCACAAGCATGACCTCTCCTCACCCTTCCTTATTCCTTTCTATGTTTGCCAAGCCCTTTTTTCTTATTTCAGAAACCAGGCAACATGTTTCTGATAAAAATAACACACTAGAAAGACAAAGGATACACAGCACCCATGAAACAAATAAGCACAAATCCAAGTCATTTGATTTCATAGCTAAACAATTTGCAGACGCAAGGGGAAAAGTCACTAGTGCCTGGCAGCAGTACAAGTTTTCTTTTGGAAATGTAAGGTAATATTTAGAACATAACTTACTTGTCAAACAAAACGATGTCTGGGATCCACAGAGAGTCTGATGGGACGCGTATAATTTTTATCCCACCGTAGTCGTCAGGATTCCATCTTAATTTTACATCTCTCCATTCCTGTAAAGTGAGAAATTCAACTCCATTTCCATCAATACACTATAAAATAAGTTAAAGATATACTTCCTGTCATAGCCAGAACCTTTAGACACGAATCATTTCTGTCCCCAATTCAGAAAACCTTCTCAAGAACAACATCCTGCCCCCTCTGTGCACTGACTCCAGCTGTGGTCCTGATGAGGCACAGGGGAGGACCCGTACTGATGCATTCACGGTTCTCTACTTGTCAGAGACAGAGAAAGGATAAACAATGGAAAGTATTCAACAACAGCTGGAGACATACGTATGGTGGTCCAGAATTAAAATAATTCATTACCGAGAGATCACTAGGGGATGGGAGGGGTGCTGGAAGAGGAGGGTCATAACATAGGGATGGAGGTACATACATGGTGTACGAATGGATGACACTATCACAGGGAATCCCAATAATGTGTAGTTAGCATGATAATAACTATAACAATGTCTAGTTGCATTCCTGTCCATTCCTGTTGCACTCAAATTAAAAGCCAAATCCTGGGGCTAAGCAGACGGCTCAGTGGCTAAGAGCACTTGAAGCTTTTGTAGACAGGTCCCGTTCCCAGCCTCTGCATGGCAGCTGACAACCCTCTCTAATGCCAGTCCCTGGTGATGCAATGCCCTCTTCTGGCCTCCTTGGGCATTTCATGTACATGTATATTTAGATGTTTGCAGACTAAATGGTCATATAAAAATAAACATTGTTTTAAAAAATATATAAAAAATAAAAAGTAAAAATCCAAATCCTTGCAGGGTCCTATAAGTTACTATTCTACTGGCTTCTCATTGTTCCTTTGATCCCCCATCTCCACAGGACTCCCCATGGCTCACACACCTTTAGCCACAATTACTAGATACAGTTCGGCCTCTGGACCTTTTACCTGCTGGTCCTCTACCCAGAATACTCTTCTCCCCTAGATGCCCATAAGGCTTGTTTCATCTCCCCTGAGACTTTCTATGAGCTTTGCCTTTTTGGCCACATAGGACCTAAAATAAAGAGTGGGCAAGCTGCTAGCTGGGCACCTGCTTGATTGGCATACACACCTGTTTCAACCAGACGTTTGTTGTCATTAGCTGGTTTTTCTCATCCTATTTAAAAAGAAAAAAAGAGAAAGCTTGGTTGTTTCCGTACCACAGCAGTAATTCCTTAAGGGCTTGAACACGGTGGCAGTTGCTGTCACTGCTAAGCCTGAGCTCTAACTCAGAAAAGGCACCTTTCTTACCCTTTTATTTCATCTTTGAATATCAGCTGAAACCCCAAGTATGCTTTTACAGACACTCTGGCTTTCTCAGTTTTTCTGAAGACCCTACCCACTTTCTATAGCGGCTGCAGTCTTCCACAGCTGCCCCTATCTCAGAAAGAGTGGCTTCTGGTCCATGTTCCTCCCTCCTGAACCCGCTGAGATTTACAGCTTCCCTGCCTGCCCTGTTTTTGCGCTCTCTCTCTCTCTCTCTCTCTCTCTCTCTCTCTCTCTCTCTCTCTCCTAATATGGTCCTTAAGCTTTAAAAAGTTATACATTTCAATATAAATGCTCCTTTCCATTTGAATGAACACCTGCTAATTGTTCTCACTCTCTAAAAAAACAAGATTAAGCTCATATTATTACTCTAAACATTCTATCGTTCAGGTAAACTACTCCAAAGCTTATCACTTGTGATTCTATATTTAGTTTTCATGGTCTCAACTACTACAGTTTCTCAATTTTTTTCTTATTTTCTGAGACAGGGTTTCTCAGTGTAGCCTTGGCTGTCCTGGAACTCACTCTGAAGACCAGGCTGGCCTTAAACTCACAGAGATCCGCCTGCCTCTGCCTCCTGGGTGCTGGGATTAAAGGCACACAACCACCACTGCCCGGCAAATTTCCTCAAACTTAAGAAGATCTAAGATATGAGAACAACATTATTCACTTTGCCCTAAAAGAGTGTGAAGATGCACGCCATGTACTCAACCTGCCTTTCTTAAAGGAAGGAGAAATTCAGACAATTTGGACAACTTTCTGCCAATAGAAATATGAATAAATATAAGAGGATTTTAACATAACTAGGGGGAAAAGCAGTCAGCAAAATGATATCAAAAATACATTCCAGGGACGGGAGAGTTGGCTCAGTGGTTAAGAGTGCCTTTTGTTCTTGTGAAGGACCCAGGTTCGATTTCTAGTACCCACATGGAAGCTTATCACTTCCTTAGACACCAACCAGCCATGCTTGTGGTGCACAGACATACATGCAGGCAAAGCACTCATACACACAAAATAAAATAAATCTAAATAGCAAGACAAAACAAAAAGCTCACACATTCCAAGTTTGTAAAACAGGCACAGAGAAAAAAAAATGACAAGAAACACAACAAATAGGGCTTTTTGTTTTTATACTGGTCTCAGTAGCCCAGGCTGGCTTCAAACTCTCCCTGTAGCAGGGGATAACCCAGAATTCCTTATTCTCCTGCTTCTACTCCCAAGTGCTGGGATTACAGGTGTGTACCTCCCCCCACAGACACCTCAGCAATCAATTGTTGACATCAGTCATCTACAAATGGTAGAATTAGAATCACTTTTTATCTGTTTCTTTTTTTTACACTTTAAAAAAAAACTCTAAAATCATGTGCTACTTCTGTAACCATAAAATAAATGCATGCTCATGGTATTTTAATATATGTAAATATTTGATCACGATCCTAAATATAATTATTGGCATGATCAGAACTAGAAGAAATTAGTTTTAAAAGTGTGACTTTCTTAGGGTAAACACTAAGAATCAAGAAATTCTCCCTAAGCCGGGCGGTGGTGATGCATGCCTCTGCCTCCCAGCCCTCAGAAAGCAGAGCCAAGTGGATCTCTATGAGATCGAGGCCAGGCTGGTCTACAGAGTGAGTTCCAGGACAGCCAGAGCTAGCTCAAAAACAAACAAAACAAAAAATAAAAAAGAAATAAAGAGAGAGAGGGAGGGAGGAAGAGAAAGAGAAGAAAGAAAGAAAGGAAGGAAGGAAGGAAGGAAGGAAGGAAGGAAGGAAGGAAGGAAGGAGGGAAGGAAGGAGGAAAGAAAGAAAGAAAGAAAGAAAGAAAGAAAGAAAGAAAGAAAGAAAGAAAGAAAGAAAGAAAGAAAAGTTCTCCAGATAAATGACACATAGAAAACTCTCTGGGAAAAAAATTTGCCTTCAAGTATGTATATATACCATGTGTGTGCCTGGTGCCTGTGGTGGTCAGAAGAGGGCGTCAGATTCTCCGAAACTGGAGTTATCAAGGTCTGTGAACACTATGTGGTTGCTGAGAAGTGATGTGGGAGTCTTCTGTTTTCTGTTGAGTTCATTGGTTAAATAAAGAAACTGCCTTAGCCCTTTAATAGGACAGAAAATTACGTAGGCAGAATAGACAGAACAGAATGCTGGGAGAAAGAAGCCGAGTCAGGCAGTCACCATGATTCTCCCACTCCAGACAGACGCAGGTTAAGATCTTTCCTGGTACCAGCTCATGGTGCTACACAGAATATTAGAAATGGGTTAGATCAATATGTAAGAGCTAGCCAATAAGAGGTTAAAACTAATGGGGCAAGCAGTGTTTAAAAGAATACAGTTTCCGTGTAATTATTTCGGATAAAGCTAGCCGTGTGGGCGGCCGGGTGCCAGGAACGTAGCCCGCCGCTCCTATTACAACAGAGAAGTCAACATGGGTCCTTTACCAAGAGCAGCCAGACCTCTTAACCACTGTGCCTTTCTCTAGCCCTTGATATGTCTCAAGTGTCATCTTGAAATAATTTCTGGTCCTCAGAAGCTATGATTCTATTCTTGGACTATTAATCAAACCTTCTAGTGCATGCTTATGTACAATATAAAATGTTTTGGTTTTCTTATTAATTTTTTTATTTTACATACCAACCACGGTTTTCCCTCTGTCCTCCCCTTCCCACGTCCTTTGAAACCCTCCCATCTACTCCTCAGAAAGTCAGAAAGGGTATAGCCTCCCATGGGAGTCAACAAAGCAGGGCATATGCCTTGAATACAATGGCATAGGAGACTACTTTTTGAATATAATCCCAGTAGCAAAACACTTAGATGACAATTAGTAAATGGGACCTCCTGAAACTGAAAAGCTTCTGTAAAGCAAAGGACACAGTCAATAAGACAAAATGGCAGCCTATAGAATGGGAAAAGCTCTTCACCAACCCCACATCTAATGGAGGCAGAATATATAAAAAAAAAAAATAACTCAAGAAACTAGACATCAAAATACCAAATAATTCAATTTAAAAAATAGGGTACAGATCTAAACAGAGAGTTCTCAGCATTAGAAACTCAAATGGCCAAAAAACATTTAAGAAATTGCTCAGCATCCTCAGTCATCAGGGAAATGCAAATCAAAATGACTCTGAGATATCATCTTACACCTGTCAGAATGACTAAAATCAAGAACACTGATGACAGCTTATGTTGGAGAGGATGTGGAGTAAAGGGAACATTCCTCCACTGCTAGTGGGAGTGCAAACTTGTACAACCACAAGCTTGGAAATCGGTATGATGGTTTCTCAGAAAATCGGTAATCAATCTACCTCAAGACCCCACGATACTACTCCTTGGCATATACCCCAAAGACGCTATTTATCACAAGGAGACTTGTTCAACTATGTTCATAGAAGCATTATTCATAATAGCCAGAACCTGGAAACAACCTAGATGCCCCTCAATCAAATAATGGATAAAGAAAATGTGGTACATTTACACAATGGAGTATTACTCTGTGATTAAAAAAAAAAGACATCATGAAGTTTGCAGGCAACTGGATGGAACTAGAAAAAAATCATCCTGAGTGAGGTAACCCAGACCCAGAATCACAAATTTGGTATGTGCTCACTCATAAGTGGATATTAGATGTAAAGCAAAGAATAACCAGGCTACAATCCACAGCCCTAGAGAAACTAGGTAACAAGAAGGATCCTAAGAGGGATGCATGGATCGCCCTGGGAAGGGGAAATAGATGAGATCTCCTGGACAAACTGGGGGTGGGAGGGTGGTGGGGAGAGGACAGGGGATGGGAACATGAAGGATCGGGATGGTTGAGTTGGGGGAGGGACAGAGAGCAACGAAAGAGATATCTTGATAGAGAGAGCCATTGTGAAAGAAACCTGGTGAAAGAATCCATTGTGAGAGAAACCATTTGTGAGAGAAACCTGGTGTTAGGGAGAGTCCCAGAATCTACAAGGACGACCCCTGTTGCTGGAGGTCCTTCCACCCCTCCAACCAATAGCTGCTGTGATACCAGCCCATTGGGGCGTGGTCTCTCTCCCTTTAAAAAAGCGGCTACTTCCTCTGCTCGCTCTCTTCACTTCCTGCTCCCCCAGCGACTAGACTTCCTTCCTGGTTGCGCAGAGGGCTGTTGTCTGGGACAGTGATCTGTAAGTTTTTTCCTCTTTAAATAAATACCACCCTTTTAATCATAATTCCAAACTGGTGTGGCATTGTTCGTGACTTACGCCTTCAGACCCCAACTAAGACTCCTAGCAACAGTGGAGAGGGTGCCTGAAATGGCCTTCTCCTGTATTCAGATTGATGACTACCCTAATAGTCATTATAGAACCTTCATCTGGTAGTTTATGGAAGCTGATGCAGAAATCCACAGCCAAGCACCACGCCAAGCTCCAAGAGTCCAGCTGACCTGGGCTTGTAGGAGCTCACAGCCTCTGGACCGACAGCTGGAGAAGCTACATGGGATGGAACTAGGTCCTCTGCATGTGGGTGACAATTGTGTAGCTTGGTCTGTTTATTTGAGGATCCTCTAGCAGTGGGACCAGGATCTATTCCTGGCACATGAGCTGGCATTTTGGAACCTATTCCCTGTGGTGGGATGCCTTGCTCTACCTTGATGCCATGGGAAGAGGCTTGGTCCTGCCTCAACTTGATAAAATGTTTTAATATCTTTGAATTTGATTAAGGACAGACCTAGCATTAGGAAATGAAATAAGATTATTTACTACACAACAACATAGAAACAGAGTATCATTATACCTATGGCACACTAGTCACTGTTCCCTAGTCAGCTCCTTGTGGCAAAGGGTACGTCTGGTCACCTTGGTAACCTCTGGTGTCTGACATGCATCTGGGAAAAAAACTGACTTTACCTAAAATTGGTGTGAAATGGACTTCGTAAGAGCAGGCAGACTTACCACGTCCACCAACTGAGATATTGCAAGGCCAAACTTGATCTTTATTTTGTCACTCAGGCGTTCCACAGGACGAACCCACCTTTCATAGTCTTCAAATAAATCCTTAAATAAACGGTCTTCGTGTTTTGCAGCAGAGGACAGTTCAGGCAATCCTGCATAACAAGTTTTAAGAAATTAGTACGCTGGCTGCTCTCCCCGTAAATACCTATACTTTAAGAAATCAACACTGTTAATGATCCAATTAAAATTTAAATTATTATTGTTTTAGGTTTGTTAGTTTGTAACAGGATTATCATGTAGCCCTGGCTCCCCTTGGATTCCCTATGTAACCAAGTAACCAAGTATAGCTTTCAACTCCTGGTCCTCCTGCCTCTATCACCCAGGTACTGAAATTACAGGCATCCACCACTGTATTCATCCAGCTAATTTTTAGGATTTATTTTTATTTTAAATTGGGGTGTGTATGTGCACCCCCATGAACGTAAATGCTCCAAAAGTTCAGAGGTGTCCAATTTCTCTTAGAGCAGGAGTTTTAGGCAGCTGTGAGCTGCTTGATGTAGGTGCTAGGATTTGAACTCAGGTCTTTTGCAGGAACAGCATGTGCTCTTAACAGATGAGCCATCTCTCTAGTCCCCTGATGTGGCTTTCAAAATGAAATATTAACACAAACACTATTAGAGTCAGATATAATTCTTAGTTAATCACATTACTCACTATAGAAATATGCCGAATTTTTAAATAAACACTCAGTACTTAATACAGAGCAACTTAATAACATTTAGGTACCAATGGCTGCGGGGTGTTTTTCTGTGGTGGACTGCAAGAATCAGCCCCGGGGTCAATCCCTCACACTGACAAAACAAAGAGTAAAGGCCTTTCAATTGTCAGGGCTATGGATGGGGTCGATATCAAAATCCTAGAAAACAAACATACCTAATAAATTCTAACTGCTTCATAAAAAGAAAATAGATATACTGAAGTAAAATTCATCTATTAACTGGAAATATAAAGACATGTACTTTACTTGGCATAATTTTATATATAAAATATTGAATGAATTATTTAGATTTGTATTGCTATATATTTGTATAAAACTACTTTAGGCCCTAAGTCTTAAGGAGGCGCTGCAGTGTTGGAACTTCTACTCAATCTATTTATAGAGAGAATTCCATGAGATCATTTCCAAGAGCATAATCATAATCTCCCCCCCCCCCCCCCCCCCGTCAGTTTTTCCCGTCACAGTGAGTAGGTCCATCGCCTGTCTGGTTCTGTCGTCTAAAAACTATGACTCACACTTGACACCACTTTCTCCCTTACAGCTGCACGCAATCCACTAGCGTGCTGTTGGCCTTGCCCCTAAAACTTCGTGCCCCTAAATACATGTATTCTCTACTTTCTCTGTTGTCACCTGCCTACCACAAGCTAGCTGAATCCCTCCCCAGGACTAGGAAACGTCTGTCGCTAAAAGTAATCTCCAGGGGCAGGAGAAATGGCTCAGCTGTTAAAAGCACTTGTTAAGACCGGGCGATGGTGGCACACGCCTTTAATCCCAGCACTCGGGAGGCAGAGGCAGGCGGATCTCTGGGAGTTTGAGGCCAGCCTGGTCTACAAGAGCTAGTTCCGGGACAGGCACCAAAGCTACAGAGAAACCCTGTCTCGAAAAGCCAAAAAAAAAGCATCCCTTCTGCTCTCATTGTCGGATTAAATAAGCACACATTGGGGCATGGGGATAGCGGAGGCCCTAATTAGCAGCTCCTGGATGCTGCCTTGATCCTTTGGATGTCTTAAACGAAAGAGCTAACCGGACTGACAGCTAACCAGATTGCTCTGAACACTCTACAGATACCTCCAGAACACAGCTGGATGACGCAGCTTATCACTGCGGCTCCTGACAGCACTGTTTGAAACAATTTGTATCAGATACTTTGTTCCCTCGGTGAACTCTAGCCCACTCTGCAACCGTTTCCACTTTAGCCAGAAGGGGAGAACTCCCACTGTTACTTTAGCAGAGGGATTTCGTGACTGGTGACACGGCCTGGGAGGTAAAGGCACAGGCCACCAAGCATAATGGCCTGAGCTCCATCCTTGGGTCCTGCACAGCGGAAGAAGACAGACTCCTGAAAGTTGTCTTCCTGAGTCGCCTCCACAAGCATCCCAGACAGCATCACTGGAAGCAGGCACCCTGAATGGTCCCAGCAGAGGCCAAGCTGTGGCAACCAAACTGGGGTAGCCAAACAGATCAAGAACAGCCAGTAAAGAAAAACAAACAAACAAAACAAAGAGAGGCAGAAACAGAAATAGCAAGAGAACAGAAAGCTGAAATGAAGAATACAGGCTTTGTAAGGGGCCAGAGAGAAGAACCTGCAGGCTCTGGTTGGCAGAAGAGGTCCAGAGAACTCTCAGGTCTTCAGAGCTGAAGTCTGTCAGCCCCTAGGCTGAGAGCTGTAACCACAGCCATTGCCAAGGGCCAAGAGTTCCGATGCCTGAAGGAGGGAGCACTAGCGGATGCTGCTTGACTACTGCTGCCAAACATTGCCAGGAGCGAAAGTTGCTCGATGCCAGCATTTGAGGAGTTCTCTGCCTGCTGCAGGCTTCTGTCCAGGTAGAGAAGAGAACCATGAGCCAACTGAGCTGTAATGAGCCAGCTCTGCAGCTCCTCACCTGCTCACCATGGCTTGGTTCTCTGCAGAGACCCAGGCAACATGGACTGACTGATGCTAAACGCTGGCCTAACGGATTTCTTCAGCTTTCCAATGTCCCTGGTCCCTGCTGGCATTGCTCTCCTTTGTTCCAACTGTACTGAAGGAACAGTTTCTGCCACGCACATTCCCATCAACGAGGCACATGCCCTCCCTTCCCCTGCCCTGGCCAAGTCACGCATTCTTCAGACCTCAGCCGACATGTTTTCCTGAAAACCTCTTTCCTACCCCAGTTCACATTGCATTAGCGCTGTGTCCCTCATCTTTACCGTAGCTATGTGGATCTTGTGTGGATATGATTAAAGTCTGTCTTCTTTGCTGCTTTTCTCACCTCTCTCTGTAGCCCTGAGTAACACTTCAGGGTTCAGCCTGTTCACTGAGTGAATATACGGTTGGATATGGTTGATCCGGTATTCACTTATTACCATATGCTAACCCTCATTTTTTTTTTTTTTGTTTTTTGTTTTTTGAGATAGGGTTTCCCTGTGTAACAGTCCTAGCTGTCCTGGCACTAGCTCTTGTAGACCAGGCTGGCCTCAAACTCACAGGGATTCACCTGCCTCTGCCTCCCTAGTGCTGGGATTAAAGGCGTGCACCACCACCACCGGGCGCTACCCCTCATTTTTCTCTAATGATTTTAGAATGTTATCTTTGGTTAGGGAACAACCTGCATGAGAGCCGTCTTCATTTTCTCTGAAGTTCACTAGACTCATCTTAAAATTAGAGACGCTGCCATACTCAGATTTGAACATAAAGAGCAACATAACCCAGCCGGTAAGAGTTGAGAATGGCACCGCGGCATTGGGTACTCAAGGGCAGAGGTTCTCAACCTTCCTAATGCTGTGACCCTTTGATACAGTTCCTCAGGTTGTAGTGAAGCCAGCCATAAAATTATTTTCCTTGCTACTTTGTAACTGTAATTTTGCTATTCTCATGAATGTAAATCTGATTTGCAACCCCTGTGAAAGGGTCATTTGAAGCCGGGTGGTGGTGGCGGACGCCTTTAATCCCAGCACTCGGGAGGCAGAGGCAGGTGGATCTCTGTGAGTTGGAGACCAGCCTGGTCTACAAGAGCTAGTTCCAGGACAGGCTCCAAAACCACAGAGAAAGCCTGTATCAAAAAAAAAATAATAAAAAAAAATTCAAAAAAAGTCAACAGGAGCAAGAGCAAGCCCCTCCCACAGTGTGGAGCCTCTCCAGCCTCCCTCCATTTTTGAGTGTGATCTGGCCGCAGGTTTAGAATGCATGAAACAGTCATTTTCAAGTGGGGAGTCATCTGGCTGGTCCCTCCTTGAGGAGCTGACTAGGAACTGTCATTCTCAAGGCCCAGTGATGTCACATGGCTTTGAGCAAATAACTGAGCAAACCCTCTACACAGCGTGTGTGCTTCTCCCAGAGCCCTGTAGCTTCGGTAGACGAGAATACACCGGATCGGGCTGGCGAGAGGGATTGGTGTAGAAGCGCTTGCTGCCAAGCCTGGGATTTGATACCTGGGACGAAAATGGTGGAAGACTAGAACTGGCTTCCTAGTTGAGTACATGCACATGGACACACGCTATACATGCAATCATGACGTTACATTAAGCACTTGGGCACAGGTCGAGCTGGGTGAGGGAGCCACACCTGTGACCCCAAGCACCGGGAAGGCAGAAGCCAGAGGACGGGAGCTTCAGGCCAGGCTCAGTTGGAGACCCAGAGCCTGCAGCCAGAAAAGGTTCAGAGCTTGAGGAGGCCAAAGAGCTGTGGAAACCGAGGGCAGTGGCCGCTCCAGGCTGCCGCAGGGGCAGGCGTGGAGAGCTGGTGAGATCTACAGATCTTCTGGAGTTTTGTGGGCAAAAGCCAAAGTTTTACTTACTTATTTTGGGGCAGGGTCCCATGGAGACCAGGCTGGCCTCAAACTCCCTGTGTAGCTGAGGATGATCTTGAACTCCTGGTCCTCCAGATTGACCCCCAGAGCACTGGGATTCCAGGTAAGGTGTCACTACACCTTGTCTTTTTTTTTTCTAAAGCAGGGTCACATTATATAGCCTTGGCTGTCCTGGAACTCACTATGTAGGCCAGGCTGCTCTCAAATTTACAAGTGCTGGCATCAAAGGCCTGCAGCTCCGCGCTCTATTCTGCTTGTTTGGTTTCATATACTTTTTATTTGTATTTTTTTGAGGTTAGGATTTGTTATGTTGCTAGTCTAGGCTTCCCTGGAACACCTGGGCTCCAGGTTCTCTTCCTGCCTCAGCCTTCCAAGGAGCCAAGACAAACATATGCATGACTATGCCCCGGCTCAACATCTATTCTTTTTTCTTCTATTCTTTAAGTTGCCTTCAGAAAAAAAAAATGGGGTATCATTTCATACTTGCCTTTTGTTTTTAGCCTTAAGGACCTGAAATGGATTTAAGTTCACTACGTTGTTGAGGCTGGCCTTGAACACTCCATCCTTCTGCCTCCACCTCCCTAAT